TAACTCAGTGGCGCTCGATGTATGCACAAGGCTTATTCCTCTAAGAAAAAGGAGGAGTAGATGTAAAATAGAAAGAGACAGGTGCTCCCTTTATAGGCGACGGAAAAGAATAACAGAGCGGCTAAAAGAGGTCAATATATCTGAAAGGCGTAGGGAGACATTGGTCAGAGAAATAGCAAGCATCGAACTTAAGCTAAAGGAATCTTATAGGAGTTAGGAATCGTGGGAAGAACTAAAAGCCATAAATGAAATCGAAAGAAGCCCAAAGTATTTCTTCTCCTATGCCAAATCAAAGTCGAGAACAGCGTCCAGTATTGGGCCCCTACTTAAACAAGATGGGTCCTACACAGATGACAGCAAGGAAATGAGTGAGCTACTCAAGTCCCAATATGACTCAGTTTTTAGCAAGCCGCTAACCAGACTGAGAGTCGAAGATCAAAATAAATTTTTTATGAGAGAGCCACAGAATTTGGTTAACACAAGCCTATCTGATGTTATCCTGACGCCAAATGACTTCGAACAGGCGATAAATGACATGCCCATGCACTCTACCCCAGGGCCAGACTCGTGGAATTCCGTGTTCATCAAGAACTGCAAGAAGCCCCTATCACGAGCTTTTACCATCCTATGGAGAGGGAGCATGGACACGGGGGTCGTCCCACAGTTACTAAAAACAACAGACATAGTCCCACTCCACAAAGGGGGCAGTAAAGCAACAGCAAAGAACTACAGACCGATAGCACTAACATCCCATATCATAAAAATCTTTGAAAGAGTCCTAAGAAGCAAGATCACCACCCATCTAGAAACCCATCAATTACACAACCCAGGGCAACATGGGTTTAGAACAGGTCGCTCCTGTCTGTCTCAACTATTGGATCACTACGACAAGGTCCTAGATGCACTAGAAGACAAAAAGAATGCAGATGTAATATATACAGACTTTGCAAAAGCCTTCGACAAGTGTGACCATGGCGTAAGGGGGCACAAAATGCGTGCTAAAGGAATAACGGTCGGAAAAAAAGATCGGGTCCGAGTGTGAGTACTAAAATTTTCCACAACACAGTACTGACCCACTGTTATTAGTCAACAGAAAAGCCCAAAGCAGCTACCGTGAAAATGCTGCATGTTTCCATGCAGACACTGCACTTGGCTGCCAACATATGAGTTTCATCGAAATTTCAATTGACATGACCAGGATTCAGCACATCATCCAGTGTTGTTCACGTGCAGACGACCCCGAATATGTGAAGTGTCTGTCCATTGCAGACCACATGCACGTGGCACTTCAGAAAACATTATAAGTTTACGATGAGAAATTTGCAATTACTCAGATATGGCAAACACGAGGAAATTAAATCGTCATCAGAGTACAAAACAAATTCTGGCCACAAAATAGAGTGAAACACCAACGTCAAAGACCTGGGAGTGATCATGTCGGAGGATCTCACCTTCAAGGACCATAACATTGTATCAATCGCATCTGCTAGAAAAAGGACAGGATGGATAATGCGAACCTTCAAAACTAGGGATGCCAAGCCCATGATGACACTCTTCAGGTCACTTGTTCTATCTAGGCTGGAATATTGCTGCACACTAACAGCACCTTTCAAGGCAGGTGAAATTGCTAACCTAGAAAATGTACAGAGAATCTTCACGGCGCGCATAATGGAGATAAAACACCTCAATTACTGGGAGCGCTTGAGGTTCCTGAACCTGTATTCTCTGGAACGCAGGCGGGAGAGATACATGATTATATACACCTGGAAAATCCTAGAGGGACTAGTACCGAACTTGCACACAAAAATCACACACTATGAAAGCAAAAGACTTGGCAGACGATGCAACATCCCCCCAATGAAAAGCAGGGGTGTCAGTAGCACGTTAAGAGACCATACAATATGTGTCTGGGGCCCGAGACTGTTCAACTGCCTCCCAGCATACATAAGGGGGATTACCAACAGACCCCTGGCAGTTTTCAAGCTGGCACTGGACAAGCACCTAAAGTCGGTTCCTGACCAGCCGGGCTGTGGCTCGTACGTTGGTTTGCGTGCAGCCAACAGTAACAGCCTGGTTGATCAGGCTCTGATCCACCAGGAGGCCTGGTCACAGACCGGGCCGCGGGGGCATTGACCTCCGGAACTATTATTATAATAATCATTAAAAAACAGAGTTGAACCTGTTCATAAGAAATAATAGCCCACATATGTATGAAAGCAGTTCAATTATACCAGAGCAGCAGAGTTACTGAAGTACAGAGACTTTACACCAGACACTCCATTGTTGTGTTCCTTGATGACTCTTACCTAACATAACTTCTGTACTGTATATTACATATAATAAGACAATAATAATATTGATGATGGCTGTCTAGGTAAAATATACCAAAATGGGATTAAATATTTCTGTCTCGCCCCCATACGTATTGTATGTTTCAATACTCAGTTGGAATAATAATAGTAATAATAATAATAAGGCTCAAGTTAGAGTATGTAGGAAAGAGGGAGATTATTTCCCAGTAAAAGTAGGCCTTAGACAAGGATGTGTGATGTCACCGTGGTTGTTTAATATATTTATAGATGGGGTTGTAAGAGAAGTAAATGCGAGGGTCTTGGCAAGAGGTGTGGAGTTAAAAGATAAAGAATCACACATAAAGTGGGAGTTGTCACAGTTGCTCTTTGCTGATGACACTGTGCTCTTGGGAGATTCTGAAGAGAAGTTGCAGAGATTGGTGGATGAATTTGGTAGGGTATGTAAAAGAAGAAAATTAAAAGTGAATACAGGAAAGAGTAAGGTTATGAGGATAACAAAAAGATTAGGTGATGAAAGATTGGATATCAGATTGGAGGGAAAGAGTATGGAGGAGGTGAATGTATTCAGATATTTGGGAGTGGACGTGTCAGCGGATGGGTCTATGAAAGATGAGGTGAATCATATAATTGATGAGAGGAAAACGGTGAGCGGTGCACTTAGGAGTCTGTGGAGACAAAGAACTTTGTCCTTGGAGGCAAAGAGGGGAATGTATGAGAGTATAGTTTTACCAACGCTCTTATATGGGTGTCAAGCATGGGTGATGAATGCTGCAGCAAGGAGAAGGCTGGAGGCAGTGGAGATGTCATGTCAGGGCAATGTGTGGTGTGAATATAATGCAGAGAATTCGTAGTTTGAAAGTTAGGAGGAGGTGCGGGATTGCCAAAACTGTTGTCAAGAGGGCTGAGGAAGGGTTGTTGAGGTGGTTCGGACATGTAGAGAGAATGGAGCGAAACAGAATGACTTCAAGAGTGTATCAGTCTATAGCGGAAGGAAGGCGGGGTAGGGGTTGGCCAAGGAAAGGTTGGAGAGGGTAAAGGAGGTTTTGTGTGTGAGGGGCTTGGACTTCCAGCAAGCATGCATGAGCGTGTTTGATAGGAGTGAACGGAGACAATTTTTATTATCACACTAGCCGATTCCCACCAAGGCAGGGTGGCCCGAAAAAGAAAAACTTTCACCATCATTCACTCCATCACTGTCTTGCCAGAAGGGTGCTTTACACTACAGTTTTTAAACTGCAACATTAACACCCCTCCTTCAGAGTGCAGGCACTGTACTTCCCATCTCCAGGACTCAAGTCCGGCCTGCCGGTTTCCCTGAACCCCTTCATAAATGTTACTTTGCTCACACTCCAACAGCACGTCAAGTATTAAAAACCATTTGTCTCCATTCACTCCTATCAAATATGCTCACGCATGCCTGCTGGAAGTCCAAGCCCCTCGCACACAAAACCTCCTTTACCCCCTCCCTCCAACCTTTCCTAGGCCGACCCCTACCCCGCCTTCCTTCCACTACAGACTGATACACTCTTGAAGTCACTCTGTTTCGCTCCATTCTCTCTACATGTCCGAACCACCTCAACAACCCTTCCTCAGCCCTCTGGACAACAGTTTTGGTAATCCCGCACCTCCTCCTAACTTCCAAACTACGAATTCTCTGCATTATATTCACACCACACATTGCCCTCAGACATGACATCTCCACTGCCTCCAGCCTTCTCCTCGCTGCAACATTCATCATCCATGGAGACAAATGGTTTTTAATACTTGACGTGCTGTTGGAGTGTGAGCAAAGTAACATTTATGAAGGGGTTCAGGGAAACCGGCAGGCCGGACTTGAGTCCTGGAGATGGGAAGTACAGTGCCTGCACTCTGAAGGAGGGGTGTTAATGTTGCAGTTTAAAAACTGTAGTGTAAAGCACCCTTCTGGCAAGACAGTGATGGAGTGAATGATGGTGAAAGTTTTTCTTTTTCGGGCCACCCTGCCTTGGTGGGAATCGGCCAGTGTGATAATAAAAATAAAAAATAATATTAATAATAATAATAATTCAAAATAATAATAAAAATAATAATACAAAATATAATAATAATAATAAATATAATAATAAATATAATAATAATAATAATAATAATAATAAAATACATTATTAAAAAGTTATAATAAATAAAATTAATTACCAATTATAAAATAGTAAAACTAAATAAATAAAATAACTAATAAAATAAAAAATAATAATAAAATAAAGTTATAAATTTAATAATAATAATAATAATAATAATAATAATAAAATAATAATAATAATAATAATAATAATAAAATAATAATAAAATAATAAAATAATAATAAAATAATAATAATAAAATAATAATAATAATAATAATAATAATAATAATAATAATAATAATAATAATAATAATAATAATAAAATAATAATAATAATGGTAGTAAGGTTGATGGAGCAGCAGTGTTGCCACCACCTCCACAAAACCTTCTTCCTCCCTCCATCACTCACATTATCTACTTCCCCTTTGTGTTATTATTTAGTGCCAGCCACTCTCAACACTTCTGGACATCCCTCCATGTTTGTTTAAACGCATTATATCATACCCAATTAACTACATTACATTATAAAGGCTAATATTATAGGAGAGACTTGAAATATCATCACAAGTATGATGGCCGAGACTCACTTGCTGTGCCAAAGTTGGGGTCGGCTCTCAGGAAGCCATATCTTGTTCCAGTTCTTTCCTCGTGTAACATAACTTGTTCCATAGCTTCCTCGCGCTAAAATAGTATCCCAAGCTGGGTTTAACATCCTGAAAGTCATCTTCGTGGAAATTATCAGCCATGTTGGCTTGGTAACAGCGGTGGCCGGGTCGGCCGCTGCAGCAGCACCAAGATGGCGGAGCAGCGTCAAGCGCAACACACTCTTATTTGACTCTCCTTTCACCTTCCACCAATGATATTTACACACCTGTTTCCTTCCACTTAAACGACATATACTCAAAAAATATGTAGGAGTTGTAGAAAAGGCATTAATCTGGCCTTGTGATGGTTAGAATATAGATAGAGCGTACAGCGCAGTATACAGGTCTTTGGCAACACTGATGTTTGCACAATGTTGCCAATTTTTATTATTTTCAGGGGAAGCGGTAAACCCGCAGGGGTACATGATGTATACACTGAGGTATACAACTCTTAATGTATACACACTCTCAGTTTACTTTACTCTGTATTTTAGAGATTTAGGTATTCTTGACTTGTAATGAGCAGAATATAATTTAATCAAATAATAATAGTCATGTTATGCGCTAAACTCGTATGGTTCATACAGTACGAAGTTTGTAAAGTAAAAGGACACAAGTGCAACTAATGTGACATTTATTGTGGCAACGTTTCGCTCTCCAGGAGCTTTATCAAGCCATTACCATGGCTTGATAAAGCTCCTGGAGAGCGAAACGTTGCCACAATAAATGTCACATTAGTTGCACTTGTGTCCTTTTACTTTACATATTGTCGGTAATTCTACCAACTTTATTACAGTACGAAGTTTATTCACGTACAGGTATACATAAATAGTTACATAAATTATCATACATAGCAGCATATGTGTAGATTACCTAGGATGACCCAAAATAGTCAAAGTGACCTTTCCACTGGGGTCCTTGATAGTACTAGTATTAGTACTAATACTAATACTAGTACTAACGTTAAGAAGCTAAAGTCAATAAGATTACTCAGGCTCATTACACAAGTTCAGATTTTTTGTAATTATCTTACATTGTAACATGTGCAAATTACCAAGAATAATCCAATAAAACAAAATTAACTTAATTTCGTTGTAAAATATTATTTTTATAATGCAAGAAATACTTGACATACATGAAGCTTCACTTGTATTACCGGACTTATTCTCTTTATTATGATATTCATGTATGTTCCGATGAAATAATATTTTGAGTTCAATGGCATTCGTGTAGTCGATAGACTTTAAACCTAATTAAGCAACCTGTAAGGGGGTCATACAGCACCTGGGGAATGGGAGGCAATCACATTTAATTCAGAAAAGAGGAAGATGAGTTCAGTTCCTTGGATCAAGAGCCCCTACATCATCAAGGAACCTCCCTTCAGGAGTCAGTGTTACCAAGATGAATTAGACATGTGCAACACCTGGTTATATTTATTTCATGACGTTTCACCAACTAAATTATTTATATGGACATTAAATAGAGAGGATTAGCTTACAATAGTAGGTATATGAATATTAGCTATACGTACAAGGTTAGGTTAGGTAAGGTTCGTCAGGAAACAGGACAAATGTTTCCTGACGCGGGTCTTAGTCAGATGATGACCCGCCTTTGGAGCTTTTGGTCATCTGACCGAGGCCTTCCGCTGGCTTACCGCTCCACCCCTTTAAAAATTATGGTCATTTATAACCAGTCTACGTACAAGAAATCACTCTCCTCCCTTTCTGTAACTTCATTCATTGCGTAGCTTTTAAAAGTTCTCTTCCTGAACTGGCTAATGCCAGGATATTTGACATGTGCAGGCAATCCGTTCTACTTCTTTATTGCTTGATTTATAATAAAAAGGTGTTTGAGGCTTGACCACCTACTGTAGGTACTGCAAAATTGTATTCACTTCCCCTAGTACCATACTGGTTTTAGTTCCTAACCTTGATAAACTTGGCAGCAAGATATTCTGGACACTGCCTGTCTAGAATAATATTGTACCGAAGTGAAAAAAAAAAACACTGGTTGCCGAAACGCCTTCTAATAAGATACCCAAGTTTTGCAAATGTCTAATACCTCACTTGTCGATATTATTTTTTATTTTTTGTGATGATTGATCCCTGGGGCACTCCGCTTCCATGGGGTTTATTGAAATTTTTGAATTCTTCCCGGTTCTTTGTGCCCTCTGGGGAGGTTCCTTGAGGCGGTGGGGGCTCTTGATCGAAGGGATTGACATATATTTTTCCCTTTCATGGATGGGTGATGCGGCTGATTTTTTTCGCCTCAAGAACTAAATCTCCCCCCAGCATTCTGTAGTCTCCATGACCCCCACGGGGAAGGGGGAATTTTTACCTTCTGCCATCGTCCTGGGGTTTTCCCACGATGTACTGTGAAAATGCTTGTAGGTCAAATTTAATCGTTTCCTCGTTTTTCATTTTCGTCGTAATGACGTTTTACGCAAAAAACTTACCTCTCACGCTATAACTCCTAAACGAAGTGGTTTCCAATTTCTGTTTTTCTACAGCACTGAGGACAGAGATTGTCTTCATTAAACGATGAACAACTTAAACAATCTAATCTGTCGACGAACTTAAGGCTCAAAAAAGGATCCAATTATTGGGCCACTGTAGACCCCCGTCAAAAAAAATTCCAAACCCCCTTTGCCCTAAAATGACGGTCGAAACATCAGGCAAAAAAACCTTTCCCTTCAATTAAAAAAAATTTAGAGAGTATTTGAAGAAATGTTGAAATGATTAATTTAATACCCAAAAATACTATGAGAGGATTGCCTCTCCCGGTATGTTAGATAATGCATTAACTAAAGGTCGATCAATGTCCGGGAGAGGTGGTATAACTAGATTTCTCGAATTAAGGCCGTGCCTGATAACCCTTTTTTTGGGCACTGTAAAATTCAGTTACATTGAGGGGTTTTTCCCTACTTCCTGGACCAATGTCTCTTGTGCCTACCCTAAGCCCAAACGCCTATACATTTAGGCCGATCCCTTAACTATTTGTTTTGTAAAATTTTTAAAAAGAATAACTTAACAGACACTACAAAAATCGACACCAACTTTCCCCCACTTCTAGGGGTTTAAAAGGGTAAGTGTGCAGAACTGTTTTTTCCCACCTTTCTCATGACCGCCTCTACTAGTTTTCCCACTTTTCTTACTAAAATTCATTTGATATTGCAAAACGAATATTATACTACATGAACTAGCCAAAATGAATATTGGGGGTAGCTTATTGCTGATAATAGGATACCTGTAAAAACAAGTATCCTCTGTCCTTTACCAAGGCTTCAGAAGTGATTCTAAAAAAATGTCTTTAGGTACACCGCAGGGAGGATTTTTTCCCCTGTATTTAATATTTTGTTTAAGTTTTCCTAATGCTCTCCCTCCCTCCCCTAAACAATAGCTAAAAAAACTATGCTGATGTTTTCATGATCCAAAAAAAGAGGGCATAAGAAATGAATACCATTTTTAAATAATTTTCAAGAATTTGTAATCGACTGGGCCTCATAATTTTTTTTCCTCTAAAAAAAAAAATTTTAAACAAGCAAACGACATCCCCACCCATCTATTTGCGGGGTGAAATCATTACTCGTTTAAAATTACAAAACCCCTTGGGTTAGATGCCCTTTTAAAAAATCCACTATCCCACAAAAACAAGAAATGCAAAGCTAGGCTAAATCTCTCAAAGCTGTTGCTGGCTACACCCCAACTATGTAATGTGAAATCGTGAGAATGATGTACATCCCTATCCGGTTACCTGCGCCAAATGACTTCAAAGGCGATAAATGACATGCCCATGCACTTCCCCCAGGGCCAGACTCATGGAACTCCGTGTTCATCAAGAACGCAAAACCCCCTATCACGAGCCTTTTTCCATCCTAGGAGAGGGAGCAGGGACACGGGGGTCGTCCCCAGTTACTAAAAACAACAGACATAGCCCCACTCCACAAAGGGGGCAGTCAGCAAACAGAAAAAGAACTACAGACAATAGCACTAACATCCCATATCATAAAAATTTTAAAAGGGTCCTAAGAAGAAGATCACCACCCATCTAGAAACCCATCAGTTACAAAACCAGGGCAAAGGGGTTTAGAACAGGTCGCTCTGTCTGTCTCAATTATTGGATCATACGAAAAGGTCCAAATGCACTGAAGACAAAAAAGAATCGATGTAAATTACAGCTTTGAAAAAAGCCTTGACAAGGTGACCAGGGTGTAATAGGCACAAAATGGTGCTAAAGGAATAACAGGAAAAGTCGGTGAGGGATCTGAAATTTTCCCCTCAATAACAAAACCGGGGTAGTAGTCAACGAGTAAAGCCCGAGGCAGTACGGTAAAAAAGCTTGTTCCACAAGGCACAGTACTCGCCCCCATTTGTTCCTCATCCTCATATCCGACATAGACAAGGATGTCACCACGCACCGTGTCTTCCTTTGCCGAGACACCCATCGCATGACAGTGTCTTCCATTGCAGACACTGAAAGGGCTCCGGGCGGACTAACCAAATCTTTCAGTGGCGAGAAAACAATATGAATTCAACGATGAGAAATTTCATTACTCAGTATGGAAAACACAGGAAATTAAATCTTCATCAAGTAAAAAACAAATTTGGGCCACAAAATAAGCGAAACCCAAAAACGTAAACCTGGGAGTGATATGTCGGGGGATCTCCCCCTTCAAGGACCATAATTTGATCAATCGCTCGCTAGAAAAATGACAGGATGGATAATGAAACCTTCAAACTAGGGGGCCCAAACCCCATGAGACCTTTCAGGTCACTTGTTCATCTGGGCGGGAAATTGTGACACTAACAGCATTTTCAAGGCAGGTAAAATTGTGCCTAGAAAATGTACAGAAACCTTCACGGGGCAATAAGGGAGATAAAAACACCCAATTACGGGAGCGTTTGAGGTTCAAACCCTGTATTCCTTGGAAGCAGGCGGGAAATCAGATTATATCACCTGGAAAACCCTAGAGGGACTATACCGAACTTGCACACGAAAATCATCACAGAAAGCAAAAATTTGGCAGATTTGAAACACCCCCCAATAAAAACAGGGTGTCACTAGCCTTTTAAGAGACCATACAATAAGGGTTAATGAGACGTTAAACTGCCTCCAGCTACAAAAGGGGGATTACCAAAAACCCCCTGGCAGTTTTCAAGTGGCACGGGACAAGCACCTAAAGTGGGTTCACCAGCCGGGCTGGGGCTCGTACTTGGTTTGCGTGCAGCCCAGCAACAGTCTGGTTGTCAGGCCTGATCCACCAGGAGGCCGGCACAGCCCGGGGCCGGGGGGCGTTGACCCCCGGAATCCTCCGGGTAAACTCCAGGCCCTTTAAATTGATTATGCTGCCCC